AGACTATGTTCATCTGCGCTGCATTCTGTTTCATTGCGTCTCGCTCGATTCTGTTTCCGTTGTTTCTTCTCGCCTTTTCGATAATGCTCGAGTTTTGTGTTCTGGAGGGATGATGCTGTCACCAGGGATGGATGGGGGAGCTAGGAGAAGATGGGTTATTTAGGAACAAAGTCTGGACGAAGGACAGCCGTACGTTGTCTTTTTTCGGTGGCAGTTTTATGAATCAATTCATTGAGGCTGCAGTTTTGTCCAAGTAACTGTTGTTTAGGTCCTTTCTCGGCAGGTCTGTCTGCATTGTTGTGTCTTGTGCTCTCTGGCTTCAGAGACTGCCGCACCGTCAGAAACAGCGCCAAATCCGGGAGGTGGCGCTTCGACGGCGCAGCAGAATGCTGCTGTTGCTGCTCTGAGTTTTACGCTGCCGTCGACTCCGCCTTCCTTGAAAAGGAGGCAGGCGGCTGCGCAGCAGCAGGAGCTTCCGTCCTTGACACTCCCGCCTGCAGCAGATGGTACCACAACGGATCCAGCTCCTGGCGCTGCTGCCCTTGCTGCTACTCCTGCTGCCCCCGGAGCTTCCGTCGAAGGTGGGGACGGCGCCGACATTGAGCTTGATGGGGACGCACCCGAAGCAGCGGCTATGGCGGAGGATGTCTCGGCCTCAGCATAGCCGCAGCAGTAGCAGGGGTATCCACGGTTGGTTGGCGATGCTGCTTAGAGAAGGGAAACAGTGCATAGCTTTCCTTTTAACTCTTCGGAGTACTGTGGCTCGCGGGTTGAGTGGCCATAGCTTGGTTGCTACCTATCATGGCTCTTCGTTTGGGTTGCTGCCAGTTCCTCCTGCAGCGCGAGCTGGAACTGTGACTGCAACCCAAAAGCTGGGGTCCCCCATAATTTAAGTCAGGGGCTGTTGTCTGGTTCTTCGCTAGTAACTATGGGGAAGTCTAGATAAATTGAAGGGCCCCTTGACAGGGAGAGTCTACGCCAGCACTGAGAGCGCAGCGACAGAGCGGCGCCGCCGCCGTCCGGTGAAAGATACACCTATTGCTTTTGGTTTAGCTGGTGCGGCAACATTACTGCAGCGGCAGCGTGAACATTGCTGCACCACTGGCAAAAACGAATGTTTGTTTGCTACAGCTGGAGCAGCATATAAGTTTTGCTACATGAGAGGTGGCGGATCACGGTTTGCTGCTGCAGCGGCCGTTATGTGTAGTTGTTCCAGCAACCGCTGCAGCTGCTTGTCCGATACTGGATAGGGCCACTGCTGACGAGCAGCAGTTGCTGCGGCTGCGGCCAGCAGCGAAGATCCCCGTCCATTGCAGGCACTTTTGGTAGCAAGTGCACTGCGCCGGGCAAGAGATGCGACCAGAAGAGCAGTTTAAGACCAAAACAGATTTGTAGGTAGTGATTGACAAGGAAAGGCTAGAAACCGACGGAGGCGTGTAGAAAGCGCGAAGACGAGCGCCAGGCTAGGGTAGACAATGGGGCTACCGCAGACGAGTGGACTCTGAGCTCTAGTGGGCACTGGCAAAGTGCCTCTATAAGCATAGACTAAAGAGCAACAAGAGAACTTATGCCTTCAATTGAACTTGTTGCACGGAGTTTATGTTTCATTAGCATCCTCCCAGCTCCGACTCTACCTAGTCTTGTCAGTGCTAAGCTGTATTTAAACACGCGTTCGCAACACCAGGCATTATAAAAGGCGCACGGACTGTGGAAGCTGCAGAGCCCAGTCTCCCAGAAGAGATGCCTGGTTGCTGCTGAGAACAAGATCGTACCTGCAGCACATACAGCAAGGGTTGTACCAGCAACGGGCACCAATGGAGCTCCTGGCCGCAGCAAAGAAATACCAAAACTATTCAAACAACGCATGTACAGAGGCGTAGTGTGCTCGCTGCAGGCTATCAATACGTGCCTTTATCTTGACCTAGGTGCTACGTAAGCCTTTGTGTGGAAACAAGTGAAAATCTGGAGGCCCCAGCTGCTCTTCTGCGTGACGTTTGGTCTAGTGTAGGAGGTGCTGCTGTCATTGCTTCTCATTCCCTGTTTTCCATACGGGTGTGGGTCTCTGTGCCTGTTCATCTTTGTCTTTTTAGTGCTTTTGCTTCATCTACGTGTGCGCGGCCTTGGCTGTGCATATATAATCTTTCCCAGCCCCTCTGTGCTTTCTCGGATATCCCCCACGTTCTGCCTGTAGCCGCCTGTGCTGGCTTTTACCCGTAAAGGTGGTGGCTGACACTTGGCGGGGGCAGGTGGAACTGTCTAGCGGCTGTTAGCTCTACGATTGCGAACAGGACACGCCTCACGGCCTTCTCCACCTCTTGCTGCTGCCTCAATTCCCGAGGCAGGTACTGGGAGGAATGCTGCTTCGCGCGTTGCTTCCTACAGGCAGAACCTGGTGCTGGGGCTTCCTCGCTCGCTGCTGCAGCAAGGTTGCACAATCGTCTGGAACCTAGTTGTCTCGCCTGACAGCACTGTGTCGTGCCGCAGCAGCAGCTGCTGCTGCGCTGGTGAAGCTCACGTGTTCCCACTCTGCTGCTGCTGTAACAGCAACTGCTGCAGCTCTGGGTGCACCAACAAATCGAGATAGGCAGTAACCACCGTTCAAAAGACACTCTTTCGACGGAAGAGGGAAGAAAACCGAAGGCCTTTGGCCGCTGTATGTACAATACGACCGCCACTGTGTACGCAGCCTGCTGCTGCTGCTGCTGTAGGCCGGCACTGCTCTCTACAATCCCTGCAGTGGAAAGCAGCTCAGCACAGCAGTACCCTTAGCAAAAGGTAGAGGCAACGGTGAAGCAGTCAGCAGCAGCAGCAGCAACAAAGACAGCAGAAGCCCCTGAAGACGAATTTCAAACCGTTCGCTGCCGTCTTCTTTCCATGCCTAGTAGCGTGCTGATACATTTCAATTGGTGGCCTGAAGGACCTGTAAATGCCCGTAGTTTCCGTTCCACTTCTTCTGTCAGATGAGGAGCTTCACAAAGACGCAAGTAAATCAGCGAAAGGGGGGGAGAGGCATGTGGATGTAGGCGTAAGTCAACAGGACCTCTTCCTGATGGATGGCCGCCAGTGCAGCTGCACCAGCCGCTGACACTCTTGTTACAGCTGCTGCTGCTACCGCTGTTGCTGCTGCTGGAGCTGTTGCCACTGCTGCTGCTACTACAGCTGCTGCTGTAGTTGCTGCCGCCGCCTTTAGGAAGCCTTTGGAGCGCATCTCCGACGCCCTGCGGCCCTTCTTGCGCCTTCACATGGGACCCTCTTGGCCATTTCAGCTCATCGGGGTTTACTTCCAAACGAGAAGAGCCCTTTGAGTACCCATGCAGCGGCAAATCCATCATGGCGTTGTTCCTGTTGCTTCTTTTTTCCATGCTGTTGCTTCTGTTGGTGGATGGAGAAGCACACAGAGATGAGGGGGCTACGGGCAAGTCTCTTCGTTGTGCGCGGTCTGCGCCCCTCTGTAGCCTTGATGCCGCCGCAGCTTCTGAATTAGATCCCACTTTCGTTTTGTCCCTGGTCTCTGCATGCGTCTGGTACTTTCTGCTCGACGCAGCGGCGACTGGTGGCTGGGGAACATGGGGGCTTCTGTTCATGGAGTGGAACCCTTCTTCACTTGGCGGCGAGTCGTGGGGGAGGCGCAGCATGAAAATGGTGTGGACAATGCAGCGGAGGGAAGGACTTAGAAGACGGGGGGTTACATGTATTGCATCTAAAGGCATTTCGACACAATTGGTCTGCATTGTTCGCACCGTAGAATGACAGCTTGAGCAAAATAATAGACCTCCGGAGTACTCAGGAGCCACGCATGTCAAGCCTCTATATTTTCGCGCCCAACTTTACCTGTAGGCACTCTGGTAGGCGGCATATCAAGGTAACACGTGGGGTCACCACGAGGGCCTCTGGACAGAGCCCCGGTGTTACCTGCTGTTCTAAAAAGAAATGCAAGCGACCCTGTTGTTGACAGCTCCTCCATTAATTTGATAAAATAAAACTAATAAAGAAATGGGTGCATGCTGTTAAAACTAGGAGAAGTGATACCCATTAGCGTTGTCCAGTGGCTTGGCTGCAGCAGTGGCTGCTCCAACGGTCTGACCATTGGGCATGTGAATCACTAGGACCTGATGGGTCCATTCTATTTTTTCGTGCAGCTTTCTATGTATTATGCAGCGAGAGACAATTGTTGTTTAAACCAAATGGAACAGCAAGGGCGTACTGCACGCGAGACCCCCTCCGTAGCCTTGGTATGCAATTCAGCGGCGGTATTTGAGTAGCCTCAGCGTTATCTCGACACAAGAACGTAACAGATGCAAAGAGCACAATGAAGGGAAGGAGCAAACGGCCCGGAGCTAAACTAATGCCTGACGAAGCGGGAGCTGCCGGGGGTGAGCTCTTAATGGCAGGCCACCACAGGCTACTGTAGAGGCCGTAGTCCGAACGTATCGAAGTGCCTGGATCTCTCAGTCTATGCAGACCCAAAAGTATCATGCCTACGGTATCACGTAACACGCCTGCATGCCACAATCGTAAGCCCATGAAGGTGCGTCCAGGAAAACATTTGCGGGTGGACCACTTGTTCCCGCGCCTCGGCTTTTTGTCTGTTGCGTGCGCCTGCAGCCTGGCATATCTCTACTTCGAGCCCATCTACTGAAAGGAGCTTGGGGAGGGAACAAGTTTCGGGTTGGGTGTCGGAAGCTAACTAGGAAACGTTTCAGTTGCTGTGCATGAGCACATGCTCCAAATAAGCTGGCGGACTAAAGACTGGTCTAAACGCGCATGCATTCACGCAAGCGCACTGCCCAGGCAAGAAACGGGAAACACCCAGGAGGGCCTGTCGAAGCAGGAACAGCCTGAGAGCCTGGCCAGCTGATTAAATAGGCTAGCGCCGCAGCAGCTAACGCAAGAGTGATGTCACAGCGTGGCTGTGCATCCACAAGCAGTTAAAATGGTACTTGTGCCCCGCACGCCGAGCCTGTTGCCCGGAGTCGATCTGCTTGTGTGTCTTTGTAGTGTCAGTTCTTCCAGCTCCTGTCCGCTTTGCGGTAGTCCACATACGCCTCTGGATGCATTGACAGGACCTGCATTTCCAGAAAAGACAACAAGCTGCACTTCACGGCGAGCTCAAGGGAAGCCTTGATTGCCAACTCAAGCTAAAGACTGCACAGCTTCTTATTCAAGACGCGCAGAAAGGGCATACGAAAGGCAGCAGGATAAGGCTGAAGCGCAGAGGCTTAGGAGAGCAAGGCAAAGTGGGTGGCATTTAAACACTTGAGGAAGGGCCAAGGTTCCCCGGCCGTACCGGTGTGGCCATGATTTCTGGCTGCTTTTCGCAGTAAACCGATTCGCGGACGTAAACTGCACAAGTGCTTGAGGGGAGGTAAATCCGGACAGAGTGAGGGCGGCTGTCCTTAGCCTCTGTTGCTGGGTGTTGCGTTCTCGGCGCGAGTCGGCCAAATCCTCCAAACCGGCTTTCGTCGCTGTCGAGGAAAAGGCGCATAGGCTCGTTGTACATACACCCGACGTGGAAGCCCTCGTAGCTCTACAGGTGCGGGCGCACACACAACTTATGCTCCACGGCGCATCAGATTCAACGAACCAACAAAATGTGTCTTGCGCAACAGGTAGAGAGGATGAGGGTGGCTTTAAAGTGGGGCAAAAACTGCAGAAGAGCTGCAGCTGTTGCCTGCTGCTGCACCATGCTTTCACACGGGGCATAGTGAAGTGCTGCTCACATTGTGAGGATGGAAATTGAATGCAAACAGGCAAGACCCTCTTTCTAAAACAACCACCTGGGCCTCCTCATCGCACTTGACGACATAAAGATGGGCGGCCGACTGCCAGCCGAATACGCTTTCCCAGTGGTTGAGGCAGCAGTCGAAAAGCTGCGCGAACAGAAAACACCAGCGCCAGCAGACCAGCTTCACTAGAAACAGTGGACAGAAACAGCAAACAGAACCCTTCCTCTCTGCCTGGCTCCCTCTCTCTGTTGCGTCTTGTCTCTAGGGCTGCTGCTCGTGATGCATATATGAATAAAATCGTCAGTTCCAAAAGCAGTCAAAAGTGCACAGGGGGAGAGAAAAAGGCCTGACCTCGCACTGGGTGAACTTGAGGGCTGGGCTTTCTGCAAGGTTCCAGCGCCTGAAGGCCTTCGCCATAGAAAAGTGATTGGCCGGCCGCGGCAGGTCCAGGCCGTCGGGATGAGCGAACTCGTTCGCCATGAAGTTCACCCGGCCGTCCGCCAGGCCCGAACCCAGCAAGCGGTACAGCCGCCACAGCGCGAGGCCGCTGACCACGTGGGGGTCGCAGTCCTCCACTGACATGTGTTCATACATTGCCTGCAACGGACAGAAACGCAAATGCAAAGAGAAGACAGGAAACAACATAAGCAAGCGAACTAATAAGACAGAAGAAAACGCAAAGGCAAGGCAACAACGGAAGAATATGGCTGGCGGAATGACACGGTGAGAAAACCCAGAAGGCCGCTAATAATTCCACCACCACAGAAAAGAGAAAACTGCCAGAAACAAACAATATAAGAATCAGAACTAATAGAACGCCTAAGAAACTTTGAGGCGCATGCAGTAATATCCAGTCGCGTATGACTGCAGTCGGAAAAGGCCGCACTGGTCCAATAAGCGCGAAAGCGAGCGTTTCGTCGCCTTCACTGCTGTAGGTCCAGTTAGGGGGGGTGTCGTGCTTGTTGCGCTGCTCGTAGTAAATCTCCCGTGTCTGCTGCGCTATGGAGTCCCAGCTGAAGCTGAAGGCGGCAGTGACGCGGCCCCTAGAACCCATCCACCGCGCATGTTCGAAGTTCTTGAGAATCTCGCAACAACCCCAAGCAATGCTTCCAGGAGTTGGGTCCTGCGAGCCAATAAGTGCAAAGATGAGCTAAAACGCCACAGGTGAAAATGCAGCTTCTCCAGAGAGGCAGGCATACAGAAACGTCAAAATGGGGAGAGTGAGAGACACCACAACAGACGCAGACCCGGGGAAGAAAACAGCAAAACGGCAAATCCTGCATGCCAGAAACAGTCCCGCGAGTCTAAACTTGCACCGCGTGTGCTCTCCAAGTCACTTTTAAGCCTCTTTGCTGTGACGCAGCGCTGTCCCACGACCCAGCGGCACTGAGGGAGAGGCCAATTGGAGACAAAGGCTGCAAACTCACCACAAGAATGCCTGTAATGTTGGGGTTGACGAAGTCCCTGGGTCCTCCGCTGTTGGTAGCAACGACGGGCTTGGAGGCGCTCCACGCCTCCAAAACCACAATGCCGAAAGGCTCGTTTCTTGAAGGAACGACCACCGCGTCGCAGGACTTGAAAAGCGCATGCAGGGCCCCGCCCCCCATTTTGCCCACAAAGCGCACTAAACACGCAGGCACACAAAAACGGCCACCCGTCCCATTAGCCCAGGCCCCCCGTGGCAGCAGCGGGGCCCTACAGCCCATAGAATCTGGCAGGAAGAATAAGCTAATGCGAGTCAGCTGGCACAACGGGAGAGCAAGATAAAGTGGCGAAATCAACATCTGCACGTGGAAAGGTGAAAGTACCTGAGTGAGTCACCCCCAGCTGAGCTGCGCGGCCCTTGAGACTCTCCATCATGTGGCCGTCCCCCACAAAGACAAACTTGGCATCGCCTCGGAACTTGTGGATAAAAGGCACTGCTTCTAACAGCAGATCCGGGCCCTTCTGGACCACCATCCTCCCTGTGAGACTCACACGAACCAGGAGCAGCTGCTTATCCCAAGGCAACAGTGCCAGCAACAAAAAGCATGTAAACCTCACATGACAAGCGGCCAGGTGGAAAGGGCAAAACGGACCCCTTCCGTCTAGTGCTCGATACTAAGAGCCCCGCCAGATCACAGCAGCAGGATTCGTTTACGTTGTATCACGGAACCACCGAGGGTACTGCTCAGCTGCTCGAGAAAAAAGAAGCCAGATGTACTGCTGCTGCTTCAGACTGCAAGGGACACAGACTGAGTCTAAATGGGCTGACGGCGGTAAGGCGGTCTCACCCACAAACAAGAACATGGGATCCAGAGCCCCGACCCCGTAAGTGTGTTTCACAGCGCCTGGGTCGACCTCGCCGTCGAACTTGTTGCAGTTTATGCCGTTATAAATGACAGTCATCTTCGCAGGGTGGACTCCGTACTGCGCCCGCACTTCCTCGGCCAGCACTCCACTCACGCAGATCACGCGGTCCGCCAAGTGGCAAGCTTCCGCTGCAGCAGGCCGCAGGCGAGCAGCAGGCAAATAAGAAAGCCCCAGAAACCCGCACAGCACTTACAACACTGACACGCTTCGACGCCGCCGCTGGCTCCTCAACTCCCTTTCCCTTTGGGAGACGAACAGTGGAGGAGCGCATGCACACAAGTGGGGCTTTGCTGGGACCAAGAAACCCAAACTGACACAACAGGAAGTTCCTACTGAGTCCACTAGTGGGCAGATGCAGCAGCAGAAGCAGCAGCACAGCCGCGGCTGGGAACTAACCCTCAATGTCTCGAATCCTCTTCGACACCCCGCCGTAGTTGTTGTTGCCACAGCGGCCAAACTCCGTGGAGTGCATCGTTAGAATGGCAGTTCTCCCCTGCAGACCCGCCACAGCGCAGCAGAGAGCCGTCACTGACACGGGTTTTGCAAAACTCCCGCAGACTGCACTGATTAGGCCATTCTCCCCAACAAAGGAATGCAAAGTCTCTCAGGAATATAGGGCCAGGGACTTTGCGGAAAAGCCGAAAACTTGCCATTTGTTTGGCCCGGATAAGGGCGCGGCCCGCCAGCCAGTCGTGTGCGTGGCAGATCTCGAACTCCGTGCCCATGGCCTCTTCGACGCTCAGCATGCATGCAATGAAGCTTTCGCACATGTTTTGAATCTCCACCACGAAGTCCCGGTCCAAGTCGAAAGTGCATTCGTGGTACATCACGCCGTAGTGCTCTGAACAGCCCCCACAAGACTCCATTGCCCGCACAAAAACGTGAACTTCGTGGCCCTGGCGAGACAGGCCCGCGGCCAACTCCGTCACGTGGGGAGCCACCCCGCCTACAGCGTGGGTGTGCAGCGACTCCCACGCAAACAGCGCGATCTTCAGGCGCCTGCGAAGCAAATCCGCAGCACTACCAGCAGCGCCGCTTGGCCAGCAGCAGCAACAGCCAGCAGCAGCAGAAGCACCAGCACCCAGCAACACCAACAGCAGCAGAAGTAGCCGCGCGGCTTCTCCCCTAGGGCCAGCAAGCTGCCCCCTACAGTGCGCAGCGCAGGTGACACGGAGCTAGCCAGCTGTCCAGCTAGCTAGCTGCCCAGCTAGCCAGCTGCCCCGCCCCCTAGACTTGAGCTAGCCACTGGGGAGGGTCCCTCACCTCCTGCAGACCCTGGTGGTGTCGGCGTCGTCGACCGAAACCAAAAGCTTTTCAGTGTTGGGTTTGTTGGCGAGTGCCCAGAGGACCTGGGCAGTCATCCAGCGGCCGTGGCGGCGGCCGGACTGGCGAATGAGGCGGCGGAGGCTCTGGCTGAGAGAGCTGTCGAGGCGGTAGTCGAAGCCGAGGCCCCCCTGGGCCACTGGTCTGCAGAGTGTGGGGTATCCTGTGCATTCCTGCGCGATGGAGAGCCGCTGGTCCTCGGGCAGCAGCGCAGCCAACAGCGAATTCGCCAGCGCCAAGTACAACACCCCCGACGCGCACAAGTCCCGACTCAGGTAAGCCCCGTAGTCGTACAGGTCGGGCTGCCGCAGCACGCTTCGCTGGTCATACAGCATCCACGGCACGCCTTCCAGCCGGAACCCGTCGAGTCTGCAGCAGCGCAGCAGCAGCAGCAAGCAGCGCAGCAGCAATCACAAGCAGCGCAGCAGCAGCAGCAAGCAGCACAGCAGCAACGGCAAGCAGCGCAGTAGCAGCAACAAGCAGCGCAGCAGCAGTGACAAGCAGAACAGCGACGGCAACAAGCAGCAAAGCAGTAGTAACCAGAAGCACAGCAGCACTGGACAGCAGCACAGCAGCAAAGCCAGCGCAGCTGCAGCAAAAGGGCTAGTCCTCTGCAGACAGCCTCCTGCAGAATCAAATTCTAGAACTACTATGCTGCACAGAGGGCCTTGTGGGGCCCCCAGAAGCACTCCAGAATGCAAGAGCTGGGGGCCCCGGCTGGCGAGCTGCAGCAGTGTGCATGCAGCAGGGGGAATTGGGAAAAAGGAAGAAAGGGGCTTTAGACGCACTGAAACTCCGTTATCCAGTAAGAAATGTTTGAAAGCAAGAAACGGACAACTTCCGTCTTGGACAAGTCGAAGACTTTGGCCTCCTCAACAACTCCCGAAGGGCCGCTCACGAAGTAATTGTTGTCGCCCCCGTCCATGCAGCCCAGGCCGTCCATTACATTCTTCGAAGAGTGCGCGTGGCAAAGACTTAGCAGCACCCGCAGCCCCAATGCATGCGCCCGGTCCACCAGCGCCTTGAACTCCTCCACTGTGCCCAGCCGGCTGCTCACTGCGAAGTGGTTCGTCACGTAAAGCCCGAAACTCGCAAAGTCCGCGTGCTCCACCACGTCCAGCAGCTGCCCACACGCCCAAACCCTAAACCCTAAACCCTAAACCCTAAACCCTTGATCACGCCCAAACTACAGCCGCTGCAGCGAAAGCAGCGTCAGGAACGAACAGCAGCCACTGCAGCGCAGTTCGAACACTACGAAGCGAGTGAGCCACAGCTTCTTCACAAGGGCACCCCACAGCAGCAGCAGCAGGAGCAGCAACAGCAGCAGCGAGCTGCGGCGCTGCTGGCCCACCAGCAGCGTGTTGTATCCCAGGTTTTTGATGCGGGGCAACAAAGTTTCTGTGAACTCCACGAAGTTTCCCACGCGGCCCTCTTCGCCGCTGGAGCTGCCAATGTGGACTTCGTAAATGGCGGGGGCTACACCGGGAGGCACTCGGGGCCTGGGGAAGCGGAAATGGTACTTTTCCTGCACCGCAGCAGCAGCAGAAAAGAGGCAACTTCCCGCAAAGAGTGCTCCTCTGGGGTTTAGGGTTTAGGGTTTAGGGTTTAGGGTTTTAGGGTTTAGGGGCCCCGGGCCTCGCCAGCTTAGCATAACAACAACCCCACCCTCGCCCCCGCAGCCAGAGCCCCCCAGCACTCAAAGACACAGAGAAAAAGACACACAGACCCGCAAGACACAAAACACAAAAGAGGGAATAAGCCCGCTGCTGCAGCTCCCCAGTGCCCAGTGCTGAGCCCGCAGCAAAGTCCCCTTCTAGCTGGAAAATGCAAAGAAAAGAGCAACTCTGCGCAAAGTCGGGGGCCCCCACGCCCCGAGGGGCCCCAGCAGAAGGGCCCACCTCCCCCGGGGGGTTCAAAATAAGCTGTCTTCCTTCACGTGACGACGCATTTTTAAAACATTGTTTTAAAAAAGGTTCCATTACTAAATTAAAACTAAAAATGAGATAATTTAGTAGCTTGGTCTGCTTTAATTGAACAAAGTTAACCAAATGCTGCGCCCACCTCCTCCGGGGGGTTCCACAGCACTGCGTTGAATAGCCCGGAGTCTTCACTTCGCCAAACCACTCGAGACCAGCTGGGCACTCTGTCGATGGGCTCCCCTTCTTTGGGCACTATCAACACCCGCAGGCGGCAGCTGCATGCGCAGGCCAGCGGCCCCACACGGGGCTTTAGCTGCGGCCAGCTGGGCGCTCCCGCGCCAGCTAGCTAGCTACACGGCTGGCTAGCTGGCTAGCTAGCTAGCTGGCTGGCTGGCCCTCGTTGGCGGGCGGCTGCCTGCGCAGCTGCCCCGGCCAGCTCCCCAGCCATCCTCCCCGACTAAAACTGAAGCTCCAGAAATATGAGTGTGAGCTACGCAGCCCCTGGCACCAGCTAGCTGGCAGCTAGCCGGCAGCTAGCTGGGAGCTAGCTGGGAGCTAGCTGGGAGCTAGCTGGGAGCTAGGAAAGCTCTCCAAAAGCCTTACCGGTGGCGCAGGGCCGGAGTCCCGTCTGGGCGGTCTGGAATGAAAATGGACCAGACCGAGCTGAGGTGGGCCTCGGCAGCCCCGGGGGGCCCCTCGGCCTTGGTGCCCCTGAGGGCCCCCAGGGGGGCCTCGAAGAAGTGGGGGGCCACGCCCCAGCGCTCGCGGTGCAGCGGGTGAGAGGCCCTGTCCCAGTTGTTGAAGTCCCCGAAGAGGAAGACGGCCTTCGCGTTCGGCAGCCACTCTCTGTAGGTGTAGCCGGACACCCTGCAGCGCCGTTGCACACACGCAGCCGCAGCCCCGCGCATGCGCGCATGCAGCCCCGCACGCATGCATGCGCTGCATGCACGTGCAGCTGCAAGCCTGCGGCCCTGCAGGCCCCCAAGCAGCCCTGCCGCCTCCTGCGGCGCTGCATGCAGCTCTGCATGCACGCATGCGTGCATGCAGCCCCGCGGGGAGCCCGCGGCTCCAGCTGGGGCTGCCAGGGTCAGGGGCGGGGGGCCCCTGGGGGCCCCGTGTGGGGCCCCACGCACCCGTCTGCATGCACGCGCTGGAGGCCGAAGAGGCTGTGGGCGCTGGCGAAGGCCTGCAGAGAACCGAAGGCCCCCTCGAGGGCCCCCAAGGTCTCCGTCAAAGTGTGGAAGCGCTGCCGCAGCTGCGGCACAAACTCCTGCAGCTTCGGGTCTTGCTGCACCACTGCGCTGCCGTCCAGCTGCGCAGCCCAGTCGCAGGTGTCTCGCGGCGCTCGCAGGGGCGTGAACGACGGCTGCACGCACCAACAGCAAGTCCTGCTGCTGCTGCTGCTGCTGCTGCAGCGGCAGCAGCTGCTGCTGCTGGAGTAGCAGCAGCAGGAGCAGCTGCAATAGCAGCAGCAGTACGAGTCACAAGTGCAGTAGCAGCAGCCGCAGCAGAAGCAGCAGCAGTAGCAGAAGCAGCAGCAGCAGTAGCAGCAGCAGCAGCAACTGCAGCAGCAGCAGCGCCGTGTGCAGCAGACACACGGGGAGGCCCCAAGGGGGAAACCCCCATAATGGCAACTGCGGCAGCCCGGGGCTGCTGCAGCGGGGCCAAAAAAGAGCTAGGAGGAGACACTTGGAAGCAGAGAGACAGCAGCAGCGCAGCGCAGCAGGCTGCATGCGGCTGTGTCTGCTGCGCTGCTGCTGCCTCCGTGCTGCCAATTATTGTGTCCCCCTGTCTCCCCTTCCCCCGCGTCCGCCCACAGCAGCAGTCCCCCTAAAGGAAACAGCAGCAGCAGCAGCAGCAGCAGCAGATGCTGCTGCTGCTGCTGTCGAGCACTCACCACCTCCAAGCCGGCGGGGGGCCCGAAGCAAAGGCCCGTTTGCTCCCGCTTCGTGTGCAGCAAACCCCGGAAAGCAGCAATTTCTCGGGAAGCCAACAAAGGAGCTAAAGCTGCTTGGAGTTCTTTCCATTCGGGAGAGTCCACGATGAAACTGGCTTCTTGCTGGCTGTACAGACACCCCACGCCCAGACACCCCACAACCCACAGCTGCTCGCCAGCAACTCCCGCAGCAGCCACGGCCCCTGCTGCAGCAGCAGCAGCACCCTCAGCAGCAGCAGCAGCAGTGTAGCTGCAGCAGCGGAGGCCGCAGCAACACCAGTGCGGCAGCAGCAGTAGCAGTGCAGCTGCAGCAGCAACGGCACCAGCAGCAACAGCAGCAGCAGTTCAGCTGCAGCAGCGACAGCTGCAGCAACAGCAGTGCAGCAGCAGCAGCAGCAGCAGCAGCAGCGGGCTGCGCGGGTCGCTGACTCCTTGAAGTGGTAGAAAATGGAAAGACACCGAGGCTCGTCTGCCCTCGCCAGCACCACCACACTTGCTGCCAGCTCCTGACAAGTGCTGCCGCGTCTGCCTTTGCGCTGCATCTGCAGCAGCAAAACCCCGCAGCAAAGTCCCAGTCTCCAGCAGCAGCACACCCGCAGCAGCAGCAGCAAGAGCGGCTTCCGTAGCAGCCAAAACCGCAGCAGCACCAGCAGCACCGGCCGACGCTGTGGCAGCAGCTGAGGCCTCGGAAGCAGCAGCAGCAGGCGCCGCAGCAGTAGCAGCAGGAGGCGCAGCAGTAGCAGCAGGAGGCGCGGCAGCAGCAGGAGCCCCAGCAGTAACAGCAGGAACCCCAGCAGTAGCAGCAGCAGCACGAGCCGCAGCAGGAGCCACAGCAGCAGCAGCAGGAGCCACAACAGCAGCAGCAGCAGCAGCAGCAGCAGCAGCTCACTGTGAACTCATTTGTGACGGGTACGCGCAAGCAGCCCTGGTAGGCGTGTTGGTGGAGAGTGTCTCTGAGGGCCTCTGCGTCTAGGGCGAACTCGGGGGGCCCCTGCTGCTGCTGCTGCTGCTGCTGCTGGGGGTGCTGCAGGTAGCCGTTGGTGCGGGGGGCCCCCGGGGGGCCCCCCGGGGGCCCCTGGGCACGCAGGGTGACCTTGTGCTCGAGGACCAAAGTGTCGTCGAGGGCCAGCGGGACAAGGGCCCCCGCGAGGAGGACTCTGCGGGCGCGGAGGCGAACAGCAGCAGCAGCAGCAGCAGCAGCAGCAGCAGCGGGGCCGTCGTCCTGCTGCTCGGTGCAGGGGGCCCCCCGGGGGCCCCCGATCTCGTTCTCCGCCAGCTGCAGGAAACTCTCCAACTGACATGCAAAAACTGTTTCTTCTTCTTCTCCTTCTCCATTAGTGCTGGTAGTGCTGCTGCCAAAAGTTTCGCTGTCTCCGTGGGAGCCCTGGGACTGCCTGCTTTGCTGCTGGGGGGCCCTCGGGGGGCCCCCCGAGGGCCCCAGCGGCAGCAGCGAGACCCCCCCCTCGATCAGTCGAAACTTCACAGTTTCCCCTTTGCTGCTGGGGGCCCCCTTGCCCTTCAGGGGGGCCCCCCCGCCGGGGGCCCCCCCGGGGGCCCCCCCGGGGGCCCCCCCGGGGGCCCCCCGGCCGTTCGTGGCTGCGCCGTTGCTGAGCCCGTTCGCCGCGGCCGCGCCGCCGCTGCTGCTGCTGCTGCTGCTGCTGCGCCCCGGCAAGTCTGCTGCAGCGTCTGCTGCAGCAAACGGCTGCTGCAGCTGCTGCACTTGCTGCAGAAACTTCTCCGCCACAGAAGACCCGTCGTGCTCCCGCAGCAGCTGCAGCTGCGCCCCACGCACTTGTTCTGCGTACTCTATGAACCGCTCCACCAGCCGCTGCTGCTCCGCCTGCAAACACAGTCCCCAGCAGCAAACCGCACTGCAGCAGCAGCAGCAGAGGCAGCAGCAGCAGAGGCAGCAGCAGCAGAGGCAGCAGAAGCAGCAGCAGAAGCAGCAGCGCAAGAGCAGCAGCAGAAGCAGCAGCGCAAAAGCAGCAGCAGCAGCAGCAGCAGCAGCAGCAGCACTGCTGCTGCTGGAGATTAGAGGGAGTCAGAGACAGTGTCTTTAGAGTGAAGGTGACCCAGCAGCCACAGGGGCCCCCCGCGCAGGGGGCCCCGGCCCCCGAGGGGGTGTCCTGGGGCCCCGGGGGCCCCCCGCGCGGCGGGGGCCCCAAAGAGCGGGCGGGGGGCCCCTGGGGGCCCCCCAGGGGCAGTACCCTCGGGGCCCGGGGGCCCCACTCACCACGGGGACCTCGAAAAGGGCATCTGCAGCATTGAGTTTGTCGCCTCTTTCTGGGATGACTCTCAAGAAAGAAGAAGAAGGGAATTTGGTGATGTATTGCTGCCGCTCTTCATCTTGGCGGCGGCCCCTGGAGGCCTCGGGCTCGGGGAAGGCCCCGTTGGCTGCGGGCCCCTTCATTCGCAGGGAGGGGGCGGGGGGGCAGCAGCAGCAGCAGCAGCAGCAGCAGCAGCGGCGGCAGCAGCAGCAGCAGCGGCAGCAGCAGGCCGCCGAGACCGAAGACTGCCGCTGAGGACTGAGACGGGCCTCGCCCGCTGCCTTTCTTCGCCAGCAGCGCCACAGGCCGTTGGGGGGGCCTAGAGAAGTGGCTGGCAGCTGTGGGGGCGGGGAGGGTCTCGTGCTGCAGCTGCTGCAGCGGGCAGAAGGCTGCGGGAAGGCGCAGGCTGCTGCTGCTGCTGCTGCTGCTGCTGCTGCGGCGGGAACGCGCGTTCGCCGGGAGCTGGCGGCGGCAGCAAGGCGCAGGAAACAGAAATGGAGAATATAGAAGCCGCAAAGAACTCAAACTGACGCAGACGCCGCGACAGAAGCAGCAGCAGCAGCGCGGCCACCTCCGATGGCAGCAACCCGAGACAGAGGCAGCGCCGCACAAGATGCGGTCCGACGGGCCTATTAATGCGACTTAGGTTTATTTTAACTTCTTTGCAACTCCACACCTGGCTAGGGGCCTCTCCAGCGAGTACCAACGCCCCTAGCACGCCACAGCAGCACACTCCGAGACAGCCGCGGCATGCGCCCATCTCGGGCCCGCGGCTGCTCCCCGGCCCCGCCCCCCCTCCTTCTCCAGCCTATTCCCCCAATTAAATAATACCATTTCTTCCTTTTCTCAACATCTATTCTTCTCCCGTGTCCCTGCGCTGCCCCCCCTGCAGCGAGGGCTCCCCTGGCGGCCGACCGCCGCCGCCGCTCCAGGCGGCAGGCCGCGCCCGGGACACCTTTCAACTTTCTGCGCTTTCACCGCCCTTTGGAACTGTTTTATTTCTCCAAAATAATACCATTTAAAGGGGCAGAAGAGGGGGGCCCCCGGAGCTGCCCCCCGGGGCCCCCGCTCGCTGCAGAAGGCTCCACCCCGGGGTGTCTTCCCCGACCCAGCAGGCCTGCGGCCGCAAAACTTGAACCCTCGGGACTTCTTTGTCTCAAAAAGAATTATATTTGGCCACTTTTAGAGTCTAGAGCCTCAGACAGCAGCCTCAGAGCTTCTTCTATTAGTTTGTAGTGACCCTGGGGGCGGGAAAAATCCCCATTTGACGGCAAAACACCCAAAACTTCCAGTTAGGTGCAGCAACTCACGGCTGCAGCCACCAAAAGAGGAAAAGATAAAAAAGAACATTCGGGGCAGTGAAGCCCTTCTCGTTTGGGGTGTACAGACACCCCAGGGCCCGGCCTCGAGGCTGGGCTGCAGCGCCAGGTCTTTCTGAACATTCGAAAAGAAAAAAAGTGCCAAAAGAGTTCCTACGAAGGCCAGTGGACCATTGGTCCACCTGCAGCAGCTCCCCAGTGCCCCGAAGGGCCTGCATGCAGCAGCTGAGCTGCTGCAGGAATGGCTTTGAGTTCTCAAGCAGCAAAAACCCCCTGGGGCGCTGGCCCTCTCTTCTCTCCAGTGGTCTCTTCTAAACACTGGCCAAAGGACCATTGGTCCACTGGCCCTTCTTGGCACTCTTTTATTTGTAATAAGGCCTCTTGTCTGTCTTTCCGAGTTTGGCTAGCTGGCCCCCGGCTCACGCCCAAAGCCTCCACCTTTGCTGCCTAAAAGGCCCCATATATATATATATATATCAATATAAATAAATATAAATTAATATAAATAAATATAACTTTAAATTAAATAAATATATTGTGTGTACCCCCACCCACTGGTGTTATTTGAGGCCTGTTTCCTCTCGCCCAGTGCTGCATGCAGCCCAAGTGTCTTGGCCTATTTTTTAGTTGGTTTAATTTTTAAATATTTCTATTGTTTTGTTTGGGACTTTAATAGAATATTAAAAGTCTTTCAAAGTTCTTTCTGAGGGTCCTCGGGTTGCTGCTGCTGCTCGCCTGGCTCTATTCCGTTTTAATTAAAAAAATTTAATTAATTTAAATTAATTAAATTACTTTACTTGATTTAGAAAAACAAACACCCCACAGTGCACAAAGACAAAAGCTGTGTCCAGAGTTATTAGCCCTCCAGCTGCTACCAGCCTTCTGCTGCAGCAGCAGCTGCAGCAGCAGCTGCAGCAGCAGCTGCAGCAGCTGCTGCAGCGGCAGAACAACTGCAGCACCGGCACCTGCCCCCGAATAGGAGCAGAAGCTGCAGCCCCAGCGCCGGCAGCAGCAGCCTGGGCGCCGCAGCTGCCCGCTGCTGCTGCTGCTGCTGCTGCTGCTGCTGCTGGGGGGCCTCAGCTGCTGCCACCGGGCCAAAACAGAATTACCGCATTGGGGGGGCCCCCCTCCTCCCCTTTCATGGGGCCCCCCTGCCCATAAAGGGGGGCCACCAGAAGCCCCGCCACCGCCAAATCCCCCGAGGGGACCCTACGGGCCCCCTAGGGGCCCCCTACGGGACCCGTAGGGGACCCTAGGGGGCCCCTAGGGGGCCCCTAGGGGGCCCCCAGGGGCCCCTAGGGGGCCCCTAGGGGGCCCCTAGGGGGCCCCCTAGGGTTCACCTGGCAGCAAAGAGGCCCCGGAAGGCGGAGGCCAGCGCTGAAGGCCAAGAGCCCCAGCTGCGTCCGGGGGCCTCTCTTTCGCGCTGCGCTGCTCTTGCTGCTGCTGCTCTTGCTGCTGCTGCTCGCTGCAGCCTCTGGTGGGCCCTTTCTCGCAAACGTTCAAAAACGGAGAAGTCCCCAGGCTTAAGAGACTGCGGCAGCGAATGCACAGCAGCCCGAATGGCTGGAGAGGGGCCCCCGAGGGCCCTGGGGGGGAAGCTGGCTCTGCTGCTGATTGCAGGGGGGCCCCTCCCCACAGTCTGTGTCTGCTGCTGCAGCGGGGCCCCTGGGCGGGGCCCCTGGCTGGGGGTTTGTTCGTCCAGGGCCCCGTAGCCGCTGCACTCCCTGCTGAGGGTCCCCTGCCTCTGGGGGGCCCCCCCCGGCGCCCCCGGGGGCCCCGGGTCCTCCGGGGGCCCCTGGGGCCCCGGCGACCCCGGGGGCCCCTGGGGCCCCGGCGACCCCGGGGGCCCCGGGGGCCCCGAGGGCCCCGGCGACCCCGGGGGCCCCTGGGGGGCCCCCGAGGGGGGCCCCCCGCAGACAGCAGCAACTGCGCTGCTGCCCCGGCCCAGCACTGCAGCACTGTCTACTGTGGAGCCCTCAACTGTGGGGACAATGTAAGCAACAACTGCTGTAATGTCATCAGGTTTGCCCCCCACAAGTCTCCGGCCCACTTCGTCAAAAGCTGCTTTGGAAAAGGGAGTGACCACTGGACAAGAAACCCCCGGCGGGGCCTCTCCCGCCTTCACCGCCCTCTGCGCACCGCAGCAACAGCAGCAGCAGCAGCAGCAGCAGCAGCAGCAGCAGCAGAACAAGCAGGATTTGCGTCTCAGCGCCAAACGTGCCATCCCCAGTTTTCGGTGTTCCCCACGTCCCCAGGGCAGCCTGCGCGCGGAACCCCCGGCTCGAGCCCCCGAGCCACGGTTTAGGGTTTAGGGTTTAGGGTTTAGGGTTTAGGGTTTAGGGTTTGGGCATATTTGGACCTCGAGAAGCGCGTCGACGAGGACGGCGGGGTGGCAGGCGGGGGGCTTTCCGGGAGGGGCGTTGTTCCAGCAAAGTTGGTTGAAAGTGTCGAGAAGATCGTCGTCAAACAAGTTGTCGAAAAGTCCATCGGAGCCCAGCAGCACAATATCGCCGGGCTGGACTGCAGCAGACCCCACGCGGGCCGCCTGCGCCGTGCGCTGCAGCAGCGCCTGCTGCGAACAGTCGCAGTCGGGCATGCGCGAAATCTGAAAGGGGCAGTTGAAGAAGTGCTGCTGCGCCTCCGTGCGGTAGACCACCTGGTAGCCGCCGTAGGCCTGCGGGTTGGCCACGCGGGCCCTGCAGGTGTGGCAGCTGGCGTGGGAGAACTCGAGGGGCCCCGGGTACCTCTTGGGGGGGGCCCCCGTCCTCCGCAGCAGCAGCAGCTGCGAGTCCCCGATGTTCGCGGACCACAGCCGCCGCCCCTCCAGCAGCCCCAGCACGCAGGTGGTGGCCCCGAAGCTGCGGCACTGCAGCGAGGCCCTCGCCAGCACGCTCAGCGGCGGCTCGGGGGGCCCCCAGGGGGCCCCCCCGGGGCCCCAGGGGGCCCCCGCGGGGCCCCCCACGCCCAACGCACTCAACGCCTCCTCCGTCTCCAACTCAAAGAGCGCCCCGTTCTCCAGCCGCGCCCGACTCTCCCGCACGCACAACTCCAGCAACTCCGCAGGCAACTCCGAAGGGTCCAAACCCTCGTCTTCCACTGTGCTCACTCCGTCCGCAATTCCCAAAACCTCCGCCACAAACCACAAACCCCAAACCCTCGCACTGCTTTCCCACAAGTCCAACAGAAAAGACTTTTAAACCCAACAGAAAGACCCATTTAACCCCAACAGAAAGAGCTATTTGAGGCCAACAGAGCGAGATATTTGAGGCTGACAGAAGGCTGTTTGCTGCTAAAACGAGAGCCATTTGCTGCTAAAAGAAGAGCCATTTGCTGCTAAAAGAAGAGCCATTTGCTGCTAAAAGAATGAACTACTTGCTGCCAAAAGAAGAGCAATTTGCTGACAAAAGAATAAGCTACTTGCTGCTTAAAGAAGAGCTGTTTGCTGCTTAAAGAAGAGCTGTTTGCTGCTAAAAGAAGAGCTGCTTGCTGCTGAAAGAAGAGCTGTTTGCTGCTTAGAGAAGCGCTGTTTGCTGCTAAAATAGTGAGCTACTTGCTGCTAAGAGAAGAGCTGTTTGTTGCTAAAATAGTGAGCTATTCGCTGCTAAGAGAAGAGCTATTTGCTGCTAAAAGAAGAGCTTTTTGTTGCTAAGAGAACGGGTTATTTGCTGCTAAAAGAGGAGCCACTTGCTGCTAAAAGAAGAGCCACTTGCTGCTAAAAGAAGAGCTATTTGCTGCTAAGAGAAGAGCAGTTTGCTGCTAAAATAGTGAGGTATTTGCTGCTAAAATAGTGAGCTATTTGCTGCTAAGAGAAGAGCAGTTTGCTGCCAAGTGCCAGCTAAGAGGGTCCAGCGGCTGGGGGTGACCAGTGGTCCTGGCGGGGCGCACATGGTGGTCCATTGCAAATGCATCTCCATTGATGGACCTCGAGAGAGCCTTTTGAGGATGTTGAATGGACTTTCCAGCCACGAGGAACTGCAGCGGCTGCGCGGGCTGCTGCTCCCGCGTCACCAGAGTGTCGGCCTCGCGGCTTTCCGCGCATTCGCAGCTGCAGCAGCTCATTTTGGCAGCAGCAAAGCGCCAAAAAGGGCTTTTTGGGGGCCCCCGGGGCCCCTCTCGGGCTCTCCGACCCGCCTAGTTCGCCCCGCCAGAGACGCGGGGCCCAGGGCCGCCAAAAGCGCCGCTCAGGAGGCTCGAAAGCTCCCTCCTGCAGTGTACGTACACCTGAAATCCGCGGCCTGTAAAGACACCGCATGCATTGTTGCCCAGAGGGCTGCGGAACTCCGGCCGCGGGAGCTGCAGGGCGCAGCAGCAGCACTTCGCGCGGGCCGGGGGCAGCAGCAGAAGGCCAAATGGGTCAGTTTTAAAGAGAAGTTCCTTTGCAAAATGTAAGAAAGAAAAACAGTGAGAAAAAGCCGGGAAGCTGGCGGCAACCGGTGTCTCGGCTGACCGCTGGTGTGCCGCGGTGGCGCCGGCGCGTCGAGTGCTGCTGCGGCGACTGGCGAGAAAAAGCCCTCAAACGAGAATTGTATTTCCCTTTTCACATTTGAAATTCAATTTTACTTTCTTTTTTCCCACACAAACAACTCGGCCGGCGCCGCCGCCGCGCGCACAACCTGCAGCCTGCGACGCCCAGCACCGGACAGAGTCCTGAAGCAGCTGCTGCTTCGACGGCGGAAACTGGCTCGCACGCGGCCAAAAAAGTGCACTTAATTCTTTGTTCGAGACTTTTCAACAAATGCTCTCGAAAGAAAAGTGTATTAAGACAAAAAAACGCAAAAAACGCGCAATCCGCGCGCCCCAGACATCTCCACTGGTCACCTTGGGGCCTCCGCGCGCAGTCCTTCGCAGCATGCATGCAGCTGGCCTGCTAGCCAGCACACAACGCAGCAGCTAGCCTTTGCTGCTGCTGGCTAGCTGCAGCTAGCTGCTGCAGCTAGCTGCAGCGGCTAGAGGCGGGCTTCGGGCCCCCAGAGGCCCCCCGCTCTGGGTGTGTGCAGCAGCAATTCGCGGGGCCCCACACACCAGCAGCAGGCCACAATATAAATACCATTTCCCCCCCTCTAGGGCTAAAAAGCCATGCTAGTTGTTCTCCAGGGCCGCGTGCTGCAGCAAATCGTAGGGTTTAGGGTTTAGGGTTTCGCGTCTAGGGTTTAGGGGTTAGGGTTTACGGCGTGGCGGGGCTTCAGTGGACCTGCTCGAGCAGGCGCAGCAGCAGCTGCGAGGGAAGCGAGGCTAGCAGCAGCAGCAGCAGCAGCAGCAGCAGTTTCCTGTGCTGCAGCAGAGGCTCCTTTGCAGTTTGCTGCTGCTGAGCTGGCAGCAGCTGCAGAAAACCCATTTGCTGCAGTGTTTTCCTTGCAGCCTCACTGGCTGCTTCCCCCCCTCTGCAGCTAGCTGCATGCAGGGTCTCTGGGGGCCCCCCTGGGGGCCCCCTGGGGGCCCCCTGGGGGCCCCCCTTGGGGCCCCATGGGGGCCCCCCTTGGGGCCCCCTGGGGGGCCCCCCTAGGGGCCACCTCACGCTGTGGGGAGGTGACCCTGGCGGGAGTTTTGCTGCTTAAAGCAGCAAACTGCTGCAGCAGCAAAAGGGTATAATAAAGCAGCAGCAGCTGCTGCTGCTGCAGGCCAAGGCAGCGCCAACTGTGGAGCCTCGCGAGCAGCAGCACTTAAGTCCTTTCCAATTCCCCATAAAAATATAAATAAACAAACAAACAAATAAATAAATAAATAAATAAATAAATAAATAAATAAATAAATATATTTATACAAAAGAAAGAGAAAGCTTTAGACGGCAATGGGGGCGCTATCCAAACAGTTTGCTGCTGCCTCTCTTATCCTATTTCTCTGGTTTTAAAGGAAGGCAAAAAGGGTATTTCGCTGCTGCTGCTGCTGCTGCTGTTGCTGCTGCTGCTGTTGCTGCTGCTGCTGCTGCTGGCCACGCAGCGCGGCCACGGCCAGCCAAAAAGGCCCTCAGCAGCGAAAAAGACTGCAGCAAAAGCCCCAAGTGTTGCATGCGCTGAAAGACAAGCCCCAAAAAGACACGGAGCTTGTGTGGCTCTTAGGCGCACAGAAAAAGAAATTTATTTAAAATTGAATTTAAATTAGTTAAAAGTCAATTTCTTTCTTTTTATGAATCCTATTCTGTGAAATTAAAGTATTTAATTCGCAATATTTCACCATCCAGAAGAAAAAGCAAAAGAAATGGCTCCTTTGCTCTTTCCCAAACCCTAAACCCTAAACCCTAAACCTCCAAAATGCCTACGGCGCAGGGCCACAGACGCCGCCCTAAACCCTAGCAGAAACAAACCCTCAGGCTCCTAAACCCTAGAAGCGCAAACCCTCAGGCTCCAAAGCAGTGAAAGCTTAAACCCTCGGGCTCTTAAACCCTAAAAGCTTAAACCCTAAAAGCTTAAACCCTCGGGCTCCTAAACCCTTAAAAGGCGAATCCTGAGGCTCTTAAACCCTAAGAGAATTACCCAGAGCTGCACTCCAAAGCCACAGAAGCAGAATTCAAGTAACCCAAACCCCAACAAAAACCCCAAAAAAGGGTTTTTCTCTTTCTAGTTACAAAACACTTCTTAGGCCGGCTCAGCCCCTCTGTCTTCAGGGGAAAAGATTTGATGCTGCTTTGTGCAGGTTGCAGTGGAGCAGCAGCGGCTGCTGCTGCGCTGCTGCTGCACTGCTGCTGCGCTGCTGCTGCAGGGCACAGCAGCCAGTGGCACTCAATGAGCTCGCCGGATCCCCAGGGAAGCAGCACAGCTCTCTGAGGCGCTGATGCCCTGCAGGGTTTAGGGTTTAGGGTTTAGGGTTTAGGGTTTAAGGCGGTTTGTGGATTGGGAAAGTGCAAGACCTGTAGACCTGCTCGCTGCAGCTGGAGGCGTCCAGCGTGCAGCCATGGGGGAGCAGGCTGCGGCTGCAGCGCGAAAAACAGAGATTTATATTTTCTAGATTTTACTAAATACTTATTAACATTTTATAATATTTAAAAACTGGCTGAAACGTGAGGAATAAAGTCAATTGGCGCGCGGCCGCTGGGCGCCAGGATGGCTCACAGGCCAGCGCAGCAGCTTCGGGGGGGTTGCTGCGCCCACTCCGCTGCTATTTCAGTTTCATTTGTGTCTTTGAACTTAAAAGCACTTTAATAAATATAATTTTTGGGTTTTGTTCGGCTGCAACTCCAAAATAAGGGGGAACAGGGGCCCCCGGCAGCAGGAGAAGCCTTCAGTGACTGCTGGTGGTGGCACCCAGGACAGCTGCTGCTGCTGCTGCTGCTGCTGCTGCTGCTGCGCATGTCTGCGTGCGGTTTGAGCAAAGACATTTAACTCTGCTGCTTAAAAGTGTCTAAAAAGACTCGTTTTCTGTGGAGGCAGCAGCATCGGGAGGGTTAGAGCAGCAGCCGCAGCAGCGGACCGCGGCCGCCGCAGCTGTAGCCTCGCCAGTGGGGCCTCCCGGCCCCTGAAAGCAGCTTTAGGTGGAGTCTTAGGCTCTGAAAAACATTAAAATGCATTTAAATCTTTTAAACTTCGTCTCTTCTCTCTCCTTGGCCCCCCGCTGCTGCCCCGCTGCTGCCAGTGACCCCCCCTGCGTGCACCTCCGCAGCAGCAATGGCTGCGGGCGTGCCTGCGCTGGCCCTAGCTGCAGCGGGGGGCGCAGCAGCGGGGGCCCCTAGGGGCCCCCCGGGGGCCCCCGCGGCCGCGCGGGGGGCCCCCGGGGGCCCCCTGGGGGCCCCCGAGGTCCCCCCGACCCTCCCTGTCGTCTGCTCGAAGCTCTTCCGCCTCTTCTTCCCCTTAACTCTCCTCCAGGCCCGCAAAGGCTGGCTTGTGGGGTGGGGCTTGCCAGATGGCACGGCCATTGCATGCGGGCTGCTGCCGCCGCTGCCGCCGCAGCTGGCTGCGCTGTTCCTGCTGCAGCTGAACCAGCGGCTGCTCAGGCCTGCAGCAGCGCGCCAGCCCCCGCTCCGCGAGGGAAGCAGCAGCAGCAGCAGCGGCGACTGCAGCAGCAGCAGCAGCAGCAGCAGCGGCGACTGCAGCAGCAGCAGCAGCAGCAGCAGCAGCAGTGACGGCGACTGCAGCAGCAACAGCAGCAGCAGCAGCAGCAGCAGCGACGGCGACTGCAGCAGCAACAGTAGCAGCAGCAACGGCAGCAGCAGTAGCAGCAGCAGCAGCAGCAGCAGCAGCAGCAGCAGCAGCAGCAATGGAGAGGAGCAAGACCTCGTTCTAGACTACCACGTGCTGCCGCAGGCGGTGCAGCTCATTGGCTGGTGGCGAGGGCCGGACCCCGAGGCAGTTTGCCCCTTTGACAAAGTGCAGCAGCAGCAGCAGCAGCAGCAGCAGCAGCAGCAGCAGCAGGGGTTTAGCTCAGGCGTTTGGCTGGACCTGTGGCTAGACGAAGGCACAGGCCTTCCTGTGCCGCTCAGCGTCGTCTCGCACGCAGCAACAGCAGCAACAGCAGCAGCAACTGCTGCAGCAAGTGCAGGCTTTGCTGCTGCAGCAAGTGCAGGCTTTGCTGCTGCAGCAGGAGTGGAGTGGAGGAGGCACTTTGGGGAAGCCTCAGGGGCGGACACTGCTGCTGGCGAGGGCCCCCCAGCAGCAGCAGCAGCAGCAGCAGCAGCAGCAGCAGCAGCAACGCCCGAAGCCACTGAAGCTGCCACAGCAGCAGCAGCAGCTGCTGCTGCTGCTTCCCGTTGCGTCGTGTTTTTGTACAGTTTGCCTTTCTGGGTGAGCAGCAGCACTTTAGCTGCTGCTCCCCACGACGCAGCTCAAGCTGCTGCTGCTGCTGCGTTTGCCCAGAGACCAACAGCAGCACGGGAGTTGCTGCGCCAAGTAGCACAGGGCATTGGAGAGGGCCTCCAGCAGCAGCAGCAGCAGCAGCAGCAGCAGCAGCTGCAGCTGCAGCAGCAGCAGCTGCAGGGACCTGGGGACGAGCAGCTGTGCGGCTTTGAGGCCTCTCTCGCGCTGCTCAACGTCTCTGCTGCAGTCTACAACAGCATGCAGCAGCAGCTGCACTGCTGGAGGCTGCTGCAGCTGCGACAGCAGGCAGCAGCAGCAGCAGCAGCAGCAGCAGCAGCAGCTCACGCTGGCGGCATCGGCAGCCGCACGAAGGACCGCCCGAACGGCAAGCGGCCGCCGCAGCAGCAGCAGCAGCAGCAGCAGGAGGAGGAGGAGCAGGTGCTGCTGCTGCTGCAGCAGCAGCAGCAGCCGCTGGCGGGGGCCCCCGCGCAGGGCTGCGGGCGGGGCCTGTGGGGCCCCCTGTGCTGGCTGCTGCTGCTGCTGCTGAAGCTGTGGGGCCACTTCTGCGCGGGCCTCTGCGGGCTGCGGGTCTGGGGGGCCCTTGGGGGCCCCTGCAGCAAGCTGCAGCTTGCTGCTACGCTGCAGCAAGTTGTGCTGCGCTTCAAGATTTGTGCGGGGTGGCCGGGGGCCCTTCGCCAGCAGCAGCGCCTTGCTGCTGCTCTCGCGGACTGCAGCAGACGCGAGCAGCAGCAGCAGCAGCAGCAAACCGCCGCCGCTGCAGCAGCCGGCGACCTGCCCCTGGCCTCCCCCTCCGTCCCCGCGCTGGAGGCTGCTGCCTCTCCGGGGCCCCCTGTGGGGCCCCCCTCGGGGGCCCCCACAGCGGGGGCCCCCGGGGGCCCCTCCGGGGGGCCCCCCGGGGGGGCCCCCCGGGGGGCCCCCTGCGGGGGTGCATGCGGTGGGGAGGGTCTGTGGGGGGCCTGTGTCTGGTGGGGGGCGTAGCAGCGCTGGTGGTGGATTTGCTGCTGGGTCTGTTTTTGCCGCAGCTGCTGGCTTTGCTGCTGTTCAGGGCCCTCCCCTTCGATGCTTGTTCTCCAGACTATCTTTCTTACTTGAGGGGCCCCCTGACGGAGCAGGCCTCGCTGCCTCCGCTGTGGCCCGTGTCGCTCAGCGAGGCAGCAGCGCCGCGGCTCTACCCCGAGCCGCAGCAGCAGCAGCAGCAGCAGCAGCAGCAGCAGCAGCAGCAGCAGCGGCGGCGAAGGCGGCGCAGGCGGAGGCGCGGCGGCGCCGCTGCGGCCGCCAACGCTGCGCCGGGGCGCGCGGCGGGGGGGGCCCCCGGGGGGGGGCCCC